ATGAAATCCATTGTTCTAAAATTACACAAGTTTAAAATTTTTCAAATAATCATCAAAATTATAGTTTCTGGTCATCTCTCACACCTTGAAAGAGGAGAAATATTATTTTGTCTGTTTTGAGCCAGAAGGGTGTAAAGACGTGTACCATTTTACAGAGGTAATAGCCTTCTGGCTCCAATCTGACTAAAGGATATATGATTTCTTTTTTAGAATAAAAATATAAGTTTCAAAATTATATTACTGTATACTGTATAGTGTATGAGACATGAGAAAAACGGCACAGAGCACCCCTAAAACCTTAGATGCACATACTTTATATACTTTCTAATTAACATAGATGGACCTTCACACGGAGCAGTGCTGGCCTTCGTCAGCGTGGCTAATCCAAAAGTGAACTATTAACCCTCTCTCTCTCTTTCCATCTCTCTCTCTCTCTCTCCATCTTCATCTATTTCTGTCCTTTCTCTCCCTCTCCATCTGTCCGTCTCTGTCCCTCCCTCCCTCCCTCTTCCTCTCTCTCTCTCTCTCGCTCTCTTCCATACGGAGAGGGGATAATTAGCGCATGCTGCATTTCATATCTTGACACCCATCCCGAGTGCAGCTGCATCACAATAATTAGTGGTCAGACAATTATCGTAGCAAGGGGGAGGCGGATAACATGAATTTATGATATATTTCACATGAGGTCCATATCAAAAGGGATTACTTGAAAGAAAACCTACAGAATCACAATGAAGTACATGTACAACGATTGAAACAGGTTTTAGGCTTTTTATTGATTTATGTTACTCAACTTGTTTTAGGTTTTCTATATAGAGCACATGATACTTTGATAGCCATAGGCATTTAATTTTTTTGAAGTGTTTTTATTACACATATTTCAAGTTCTGGACTTTGAGGTATGACCTTATGGGAGGGAGAAACAACATTTATATAGGGTTACCTATGCTAAAGTGTCATCTAAAATATATTTCAAAGCCTGGGCCCTGGGGTAACATTGAAGTATTCTACAAAATAAGTACAAAGCCTTGCCCCTTTTTAAACATTTAACTGGGAGTTTACATTTCTGAAAATAACTAGACTGACTGATGTCTGATCTGTAAACCAAGAATTGGGACTGCATGCCCACTCTCAATAACAGAAGAGAGAAACTGGTATTGAGTCTGGGCAGGATTGACCAGACCACCATCAAACTTTCACCACTGGTTTCCTCTCTTGCTAACAACCCTACATTCTCAATCATTGCAAAATGGCCAAACCAATTCAGAAGTCTTTTGCAAAACGGAGCGCTACAAAAGAAATGCTCTACCCTACCTCATTAGGCTCTTGAATGCAAATTTAAAGTAATTTTTTTTTTTAAAATCCAACAACTCCTTCGAAAGTTTGAATGAGGGTATATTGCTTGTGAGGACGATACAATGATCCCATCATCCCACCTCTTGTATTCAGTTATTGATATTATAACTACAGTATTGATTGAAATTAAGTAGACACATTAACACCTAGTTACATTAAAATCTATGGAATAACACCGTACATGCAGTCACACGTGACAGTGTGAGAGTGTCTACTTTATTTCAAGCAATACTGTCATGCACTATACATGTACTTGGGTAAAAACGTACCAAGTACCAGAAATATTTCATTATCCTTGGTTTAATTATAATACATACACATATAATCTTTCACATCATTGAAGCCCTGCAGAAAATTTTATACAATTTTGTTGACAACTTTGGCAGCCTATAATTTTGCAATATTTTCACACATTTTAAAACTCATACATTTGATTAGAAAATTCTTTTCATTTCAGAATTATTCTAAATACCTTGAACTTTTAATTATCTATAACAGTATACCTAAATTATTGATATATATCTGCCAACAGCCCACAGGTGAGAGAGAGAGAGAGAGAGAGGGAGAGAGATGGAGAGGGAGAGGGAGAGAGAGAAAAAGAGAGACAAAGAGAGGGAGAGAGAAAGAGAGAGAAGGGGGGAGAGAGAAAGAAGGGGAAGAGAGAAAGAAGGGGAAGAGAGAAAGAAGGGGGAAGAGAGAGGGGAGAAGAGGATGGACTGAGTGGTGGTAACGATGGACATAGTTTATTGATTACAAAGGCAATTACTTCTCTCTATTGACTTATGACGTTTGTTCTATTTTTGTTTTTCTTGATCTTTGAAACCACATTTGGTCTATGTTCTCTGATTAATATGTGGTGTTTGTATAACTTTACCCTTTGCATTATTGTATTCTATGTATTTTAAAATTCGCTTGTAAAATGTGAACAATTATTCAGCTATCGGCTGCTAATCGGGTGTTGTATTATACCATGAAAAAATAATTATTTCTTTTTCTCATTTCGAAATCAATTGACTGAGAAAGCCTTGCTTCGTATATATATTTATGTATCAAGTTTGTTGTTTGGAATTAAAATATACCGTATTGTAAAACATAATCCTCCGGTGTTGCAATCGCATTAAATGTAAGTCATAATTAACCCTAACAAACATGATCGAGTCAACAGGCTCTAAAGTCATATTACATAGAGGAAGAAGAAATATACTGAACACATATTGAGCATAAATGTAGTTGATAGATAAACAATATCTATTATGGGACCTACCCTTTATAGTACCTGAAAGAGGAAGTGATGGAAGTTAATAAATAAAGGTCTTTATCAGTTTCAATATTGACAAGTTAGTGGATTTTAAAAAACAAAATTGAGAAGCTTCTCATGAAGTTTGGAATATACAGTATGCAGACTTACCAAGCTAAGGCAAATATAATGATGCTCTCATCATATTCAGTCGTTCCAGCTAGGTAAGCGACATCAATAAACAGATATACTTACAGAAAAGTATAAAAGTTCCTATACACCTGGAGAATGTGAAACTACACTTTTAGAAAAGTCAAGCAAGTCTGAAATATTCATCCTCTTCGAACCCTAGTTCTTGAATAAGACTGGCCTGTGCTACTGAATGAATTGATTTGATCCATCTACAATAGACTCTAACATTATTATACCTCCTCAAAACATACCAATTCATAATAAATCGGTATGTTTTTAGGGGGTATAAATAAATTGGTATGTTTTGAGGTGGTATAAATAATGTTAAGGTCTATATACTATTTGTAGATAGTTCAAATCAATAAAGTTCATTAATTTTTTTTATGGGGAACATGTATCTGCATGTCATACGACAAAAATTGCTTCAAAGAACTTTTAAAAAGAAATGTTCATCGAAATGAAATCTAGTCGATCTCTATTTGTTAGCCAACATGGAGGAAGTATATGTTCTTGAATTAAAGAACAAAAACTAAACAAAAAAGAACATGAAACATACTCATCCAAAATTATGTTTCGTAATCATATTGTCATGATCAGGATGATTGTGTTCGACACAATAAAATCAATATTCATAAAAACATAATTCACATGAAAGTAAAAATTTGTTGAACTGGTGTAGAGGTATCTGAAATGAATAAGCTATCTATGCAAAGTCAATCGTGTAAGTTGACATCATAACATATGAATATTCCTCAATAAATATATGCTCATGCTAATTTGATACCCAGCCGACACAAACACACTCTCACGATCCCGGACCAGTGGCTTGGCAAGGCTGTAGCAATACGCTAAAAACTCACGCACTAGCAGTCCCATACTTTTTTCACAACAAACCATCGCAAAATCATGCATTCAAATAAATAACAACAGACACTCACCTGATAAACACAGTCACTGCAATATGCGGGTTTGGAAGGAGGCTGCTGTCAAATTGTCACGACACAATATAAAGTCTCGAAAATCTGGTTACAATTTAATTTCTAGCAAGTGCTGCTGCACGAAAATCCGAGTATCGAGCTAGTATGCCGAGCCGGTGAGTTCGGGAGTACGTACAACCTTACACCGTAGACGTATCCGTCTACTCTGCGGTGAGTATCTCTGCCAAGTTCACCAAATGGGCTTGGCATATGATTGCGCAAATGTAAACAAAACGGACGGCACGTTCGCCCGTCCCGTAATAACGGGATGGTTCTCACATCAACTTTATATTTGCTGGTAGCTGCATGCTGGCGGTCTTTATTCATTTCGTGCGAATAAAAACTTGCACTTCATAGCAGGAACACAAAAATATGGAGAAAAAAAAAATAGAAGAAAAAATATCATAAGCAAAATGAGAATGTATAAATGGAAGATAAACATAATCAATTGATAGAAAAACTGCCCTTCAAATTTGACAGGGAATAATTAATATGTACTTTTAATGATCTTCCGTTATTAAAGTGAGTTTAATCATCACATATCTTTGGTGCCCCAACTACTCTTGTTTCCCTCTTTCAGTACTTTTTTCTTTCTTTGCCTCATTTTCATATTCTTTAATGCACCCTCGATCACTCGCTCCTCCTCCCCCGTTTCCATTTTTGTTTCTTTCTCTTTTCTTCACTGTTATCATCTTCTGTAGAAATTCCTTTCCATGCACACATTAAAACTGTGATATATCAAATATTTCAAGTTATTTAAAAAAATCTTTTTGATTAATTGGTTCAGTGGTGAGTTTGGTACAGAGAGGAATCTCAACTCAAACTCGAAAATATATTTATTGCACTTACTAAAATGACAGAAAAGAGGAAAAGGCTTTAAAGCAAGTGGCATGCAATATAATGTTTAGCCTCGCCTAATTGTTAAAAATATGTTGCAGTAGGGCGTCATGGAAAAACTATTTTTTAGCTGAATGACGTTAGTACCCTGCTTTTTAAAGAAGACATGAATAGATGATTTATTTTTACAAAATATATATAAAAGTAGACATATTACCATGTATTCCAAAGTCTGCTGTTGGGTAAAAGAACATCTCTTACTTTCTGAGCTTATACCAAATATTCTTGTTCCTTAAATTTGCTTCATTTGCTGTTGTGAATGGATCCATTTCAATGTTGTACATTGTATGTGTATTCAGCACTAATCAGATTTATTAAATAAAGGAATGAAAGAGATCAAATGTCTTTTTAACAAATTTATTTTCTTTCTATGATTTCATAACATACAAATAAATACTAACAAGTGTATTTACAATATATTACATATCATCAATATGTAAATAAATAATGCTAGTATGCTATACAGAAGTACATTACAAAGGCAAAAACAAAATGAATGTAACTATGTAACTATGTATTTACACATTAATATGATACTCCATATTTTTACCACTAAAAATCCACACACAAACAAGAATGATTGTCATAAATGTTTGAACATGATACTTAATTGCATCATATCTTTAAAGAAGATAACAGCGTCAATAGGGAAAAACTGCATTGTTTGGATGCTGTGTTGTCACCCCCTCCCCGCCCCCTGGTATTATGCAGACCATTCATACATGATGAACAAGGAAAGGATCTGCATGAATCATTCAGGGATCATGTCAAAAACAATATTAAAAACTATATCTATATCTTCTATTTTCACCCAAATTTTCCTATATTCATCATATTTTAGAGCAAGATATTTAATTTTATTCAGTAAAGCAGTATAAAGTATCGACATACAGTTCAAGGTGTTGAAACATGAGGAAGCAGATGTAATCACTGAATAAATAAATAAAATTTCAATTGTTTTGAGTCAACGTATTACATTGAGAAGATATAATCAAATTATTCTATTCCATCCAATTTTGTCGTTTTTAGTCAAACTATCCAAAAGTTGTCACAAAACTATACCCAAGGTCAAACACTAAAACTGTGCATGATTAAGAGAAGATGAGAAAAGAACATGAAATCTACATCATAATTCATACATGCAAGTCTCAATTTCAAACAGATCATAATTCCATCACATGTAGTCTACTAACCTCTGTGTCTAATCGACCTGTGGGTGATTCATTATGTAGAAAGTCCCTGCGAGGAATTGTCTGGTTTTCTATTCCATTCTACACTATAACAATGATACCCTTTTTCTACTCACAACAATAGTAATTTGACACTGTTTTTCATCAAATCCATGACTTTTATGAATTTGGGGCTGTGCCTGCAAACAAAATTACCATGAAATTAGAGCTGTACTGGCAGGTTCTTTGATCACAATCCTGACATTGTCATTTTGAATGGATCTCTCAATATGACAAGCTTGTAATATCTCAAATGGGGTTGCATCGGCCAAATTTCCAAATAATAAGATTGTGTTATTGTTATATGATTGACAATAAAATTCAATGATTACAATTTGATATCATCAACATTGAAATTATGCATGTAAAGAAAATGGAATAAATAATTCTGAAAATTATGATATATGACAGCATATTGTCTTCAGCTAACTGCTTACATCATGATTTTTATTTCTCTTTTAAAAAATTGTCATGAGCTTAAGAAGTTACCTTCTTTCATTTGCCACAACAAAACAATCAGTACATGCTTGTGTAATGATTTCATAACATCTTTTGTAAAAAATGAGAATTTATAAGCGAAAAAATTGCTTGAAAAAAATGCTGTGCATTTGAGGGTTCATGTACAAGTTTCAAAATGAAAGATAACTGGGTTATGGATAATCTTTGTTAAAGATAATCTTCAGTTCTAGCAGAAACAAATGAGTTTGTATGAAACTTGTTGAACAATTCCTCATCGTTGTTACACTTGCATCAAAGGACATTTATATCACATATTCTGTTGTTCTGTCCACGATTTCAAATGAATTTTTGTGTAAATATCTGAAAATCGCAATACCCAACAAGCTAAAACTGGCTTTTAATAGTACAAATCCTTACATTCAAAGATTCGTGTTTAACACATGCCTAATCACACAGGCAAGTTCCATCCTTGCCAGGGAATCTTATTTCACATATTTAGAAGCTATTTTTTAAAATCTAATTCCACATGAATACAAACAATTATTTTAAAAAATCATAGCAGCTATTAATTGTATGTATCTTGCTTAGTTATCTACTAAAATCAGATAAACCTGATGAAAAATTCTAAGGGCTTTACCAACATTACAAAAAGGTCTTCACTTAAAAATCTCCCACACTTGCATATTTTCAGTCAGTGGTATTATCTATTCAACCGAAGCAGTGGAGCTTGTTGAAGTGAAAGACATTGGTATCTTGATAAGCCAGAGTGAGTTGATCTACATTATCATGCTTTACTGAGATTCTGCATGTCTTGAAGGACTGTCCCTCTGAACTTCCTCTCAAGGTTCTTCATGTAAGCCAGATGGTCTCCGACATGGAACCCTTCAAGGCTGTTCTCCTGCAGAAAGAGAGAGCATCATTAGTAGGTTTATAGCCATTTGGTCTAAAACCGGTTCTTCAACTACCCAATTGGTCTATTCCCATATGTTCTACACCCAGCCCATCTACTATCCACATGGTCTAATAATCATTTCATCTACTTATCATTTGGTCTAATGACCATTAAGGCTAATAGCTATTTGGTCTAATTTCCACTTGGTCTAACCTCCCATAAGTCTACTATCCATTTGGTAGACCAAATAGCTCATTTAGTCTCATTTCCAGTTAGTCTAATTCCCAGTTTGTCTAATGCCTATTTTGTCTACTATCCATATGGTCTAATAATCATAAATAATAAAAATCATCAAGTGATTATAAGACCATATAAATAGTAGACCATATTGGAAAAGCCTAATTGGGTAGTAGACGAACTGGTTATAGACCAGTGGTAATTCACCAAATTAGTAGACTATTTAACAAAATGATTTAAACAAAAATTATCCATACAATTAGAAAGTACAAAGACCTTGTCAACATATTCCCATTGTACAAATGTTTAAGCTGACCTGGATCAAGGAGTTAAATCTTTCAAGGAGAGCAAAAAGTTTTTAAATACGGCCACAATTTGAAAATTATTTCTTTTTCAAAATTCTTGATAATTTTAGTGATAGTATGAAGAAAAAAAAAACATCTGATGATCTCTTTAGCAGGTACAAATCAATTACTAAAGTCATGCCATAAATGCTTACTGTGGATAAATATCTTCCTGGGTGCTCTCTAGTGCCCATATCCCACCAACGAATTGGTTAATGCTACTGCCTAAAAATACATGTCTCTTTCATCCCATTGGTTAATTAAGCACAAGACAGAAACTCATAGATATCTGACTTTCTCATCAAATCAGCGCTCAATTAACATAAGACAAGGAGGATCATGGGGGACCGACGGGCAACACTTAAGGCATTGTTTTCTATAGAGAGGGAGCAAGTAGCTACAAGTAGTGCAGAGGGGCTTTAAACAAGTACCAACTCTAGGAGGCGTGTCTTACCTTGAGGAAGATCTGTAGCCGTTGTTGCTGTGTGTGGTGCAGGATGGTGGGTTGCATGTGACGCAGGATGGCCACACACAGATAGACTTGATAGTCGCTTCCCATCAACACACACAGGCACACATAGAGGCAGATGTCAGGCCAGTCCAGGTAGTTCCAGAAACATTGACTCAACCAGTGCTGGCAAATCTAATGGATCAAGAACACAACTCTTTGTTTAGATGCCGCTTATAAGTATTGCCTGCATGGTGATGTAGATATACAGTAGGCTTACGGTTGCACTATGTGAGAGAGGGGGAGGATTGGGGAGTCCTGAAAAGGACTGTTTGTAATCTTTCTTTGAGTGTGTGTGTAGTCCTGAAAAGGACTGTTGGTAATGTTTCTTGAGCTTATAGTTCTAAAGAGAACTATATAGCTCTTTGTTTGTTTGTTTGTTTTTATTTCTGTTATATAAAACGAATTTACCAGTAATCTTAAGAAAATATTGAAAATAACAAAATTTATAAACAATATATACATTTAACATGAGCAAACAATCATAAGGCATTAAAGTGAACAACAACAAGATTAAGAATTGAAAGAATGTACAGCGTACTAAACTAAACTGATCTTCATTTGCTGTTCATGTTCCAAACATATAAATATCGATGAAGCTACCCTTGGTAAATAGGACAATATTATTGTCATTTTTAAAGGGAGAGGGTGGTCAGTTTCCATATGCAGAAGGTAACAACTTAGCTGACACCAGACTTGATGGGAATACCATTAATGGGTGTACCAGTCTGCACACAGCAAACCCGTAGGCCAATCAAGAAATACCCTGTAGACTCTGAGAGAGTCTTCAGGTGATGAAAATGTAAGATAATGACTTTACCATAATAAGGGAATCGGTGGAAAGGCCGACCATTACATAAAGTCTGTTGGTCATAAAACCGAAGGCTGATCCTGGTAACTGACAACACCCGTTATTGGGTAAACACCCAAATGGTGTCAAATTCCCTGGAAGAGCCCACTCATATGCGTCTTTAAATGAAAGCTTATCAAAGTGCAGAGCGACGAGCTTACCTGTGATGGTGTATACCCTGAGAGTCTGAAGGCAGAGTAGAGCTGGGGTAGTTCAGTCTGCAGGATCAGTTCTATCAGGTAACATGTGGTGGAAAACACTGGTCTGATGCCACTCATGGCCAACTCTACAGGTAGCTGAACCTGTCAAGACAGGCAGGGTTCACAAGAGAATGGTCAGTATAAAAATGTTCATGTTCATGTTTAAGCACCTTCACTTTGGAATAATTTACCATTTAATTTGAGAATCATAACTTCCTTAGAGACCTTTAAAGGTAATACAAAGTTTTGGGAATTTAGAAAATTGGGCGGATAGTGAATCTTTACAATTTTGTTATATTTGGATGCCCCTGTGGATGTATTATAAGCACTAAAAAATTAGCCCCTAAAACACTTCTGTTTTCGAGAAAAATTGAATATAAGAATTTACCGGTGCTCCCGGTAAATATTGATAAATTTCAAATAGCGCCTATGGCCGTACAATGGTAGCTGCGACCATGAAAATCTCAGAATATGTAGTTGTGATATATAATTTCCAAACGGAAATAGCTAATCGGTCGATTTTAGTCAAGAAACATTGTTTCATAGCTAAATTAATATCTCGAACTTGAGAGGGAGCTATACAGCATAAAGAGTTTATTATTTATAATTTTATAACTTTAGACTCGATTTCAACCGCGACAACGATCAATGAATATTGTAGGAACGCATATGCTTCCGAAATTGTTAATTTGAACCAAATTCATGACCCCATATCAAAACTTTGTAATACCTTTAAATCCAAGCTGTAATCTTATCTTTTTCAACAATACCTGTACTAGACACTATGACACTCATCCAAACTCTCTTATTCTTTCCATTTTTCTTAAGCACCTCGGAATAGAATTGTCTAGATATACAGCGCTATATAAATGCCTATTATTATTATTGTTATTATTATCATAATGAATCACTTCCTCCTAATTCCTGCCAATAGTAACTCATCTCTTTGTAACTGAAATTCTAAGCTCTATACATTGTAAGTATCCCTGTTATTATCTGTAATTGATCTATGGTAATGTTTAAGCTGTAAAATTAATTGCATTAAAGAGATTAACTCAATATGTAACTGGACCCACCCACAAAGATGGACACACTCTTGATCTCATCCTAACTCGAAATACTGATAACTTCGTCTCAAATTTAAATACTACCAGTTATTTGCCGTCTGATCATTCTGCTGTGATATGTAATTTGAATATTGCGCGACCCAAACCAGCAAAAATCAAAATCTCTTTCCGTAAATTTCGCGATATTGATATTAATGTCTTTCGCACTGATATATTAAATTCACCTCTGTATAAATCTCCCGCATCTGAATTGGACAACTTGGTTTGTCAATATGACTCTGTTCTAAATGACCTTAAAGACAAGCACGCACCTTTAATAACTCGCACAATCAGGTGTCGTCCTAACGCACCTTGGTTCAATGAAAAATTACATGAAATGAAACGGATCTTACGACGCCTTGAGCGACGTTGGATTGCTTCTAAATTAGAAGTTGACAGACAAATTTTCAAAAACCAATGTTATGAATATAATCGCATGATCAAACAATCTAAACAAAACCATCATTCAAAACAATTTGAAGGTTGTAATTCAAAGCAGCTATTTCAAAAAGTCAACAAATTGTGCACACCAAAAGTACCCAAGGTGTTACCTTCTGGCGATTCTGATCTTTCACTTGCTGAACGTTTTTCTGACTTTTTTACAGACAAAATTCGGAGTATCAAAAATGTTCTTAAGGATTCATCAAAAACGGATGTTTCCATATCCATGCTTGATTCATGCAATTCTTCATTTCCTGAATTCTCACCAGTATCAGAAAATACTGTCAGAGTTATAATAATGAAATCTCCATCAACTTCATGTAGTCTCGATCCGATGCCGACATGGCTGCTTAAGAACTGTTTAGATGAGCTTTTACCAGTCATTACCAAAATTATAAACATGTCTATTCAAAGTGGTCAATTTCCTGATGTTTTGAAATCGGCACAAATCACTCCTCTTTTGAAGAAACCAAATTTGGATTGTGAAATTTTGAAGAACTATCGGCCTGTTGCCAACCTTAAGTTTCTTGCTAAAACAATTGAACGTGCTAGTGCTTCTCAAATTCAGGGCTATCTATCATCAAACAATCTGTGTAGTAAAATGCAATCTGCTTATAGATCTTCTCATAGCGTTGAAACTGCTCTTTTACGTGTATATAATGATTTGTTGTTAGCTGTGGACCAAGGTGATGAAGCTGTTTTAATACTTTTAGACTATTCTGCGGCTTTCGATACTATCAGTCATGATGTTTTTCTTGATCGCTTACGTAATAGATATGGTGTATCAGGTACTGCCTTGAATTGGTTTAAAACCTACTTTATGAATCGTTCACAATCTATTGTCATTAATGACTCATTATCCAAACCTCATGTTCCACTTGAAGGTGTTCCTCAGGGATCCGTCATCGGCCCTTTATCATTTACTCTGTACACTGCACCACTTGAAGATATTATTGAAGCGCATGGTTTAGGCCGAATGATATATGCAGATGACACCCAAGTTTATGTTGTTTTGAAACGTGATTCCGACCATTCTGTTATTACTAAACTTGAAAGATGTATAAATGATATCAAAGCTTGGTCCACTGCTAATGATTTGAAGTTAAATGAGGATAAAACCGAGGTTATACATGTAACATCTCGATTCAGAAAGTCCTCCCATTTACCATCTGTCGAAATTGCTAATGTTCCGATACAACCTGTCAAAAGTGCACGTAACCTTGGTGTCATCTTTGAAAATGATCTTAGGATGGATGATTATATAAAAAATATTTGTCGCTCAGCTTCATATGCCTTGTACAAGATAGGTGGTATTAGAAATTTTCTTGATAAAAAATCTACCGAAACGCTTATACATGCATTTATTACATGCCGTCTTGATCAATGCAACAGCCTTCTTTATGGCCTTCCGGAGTCGCACATTGCAAAACTCCAGAGAATCCAAAACTCTGCTGCCAGGCTTGTAACACGCACACGTTCTTGTGAACACATCACCCCAGTACTTCGCGAATTGCATTGGTTGCCGGTGACGTACCGCATCATGTACAAAATCTTAGTTTTAACTTATAAATGCATTCATGAATTGGCACCAATTTATCTGCAAGAATTAATCGAGGAATACAAACCCTCACGCAATTTACGGTCATCTTCACAATTAAACCTCGTATCTACTTCTGTGTCAACTCTCTCTTATGGTAATCGCTCCTTTCGCAAAGCTTCTGCTGAACTTTGGAACAAATTACCTTTAAATGTAAAAAACTGTCAAACCGTTAACCTATTCAAAACTAGTCTCAAGACACATTTATTCAAAATTGCGTTCGATGATTAATTATCTCTGTTCACTTTGATGTGTATTCCATATGTATTGTTATTTGTAGGTTTATTTGCATTTTTAGTTTTGTATAAGATGTAATTGTATATCAGTCTATTTTGTGTGTATAGCGCTTAGAGACTTCGGTGGTAAGCGCTTTATAAGTAACGTTTTTATTATTTATTATTATTAACAAGATAGATGGATAAAGGTTATCATGGCAAACGATCATCAACTAACACTGACGAGAGCAAGTCATATTGATAAACTCAGAGTCAAATCTTTATCATCATAAGTTTAAGTCCTTCAAATCCATTCTGATCCTAGTTTGCCTTTTTTTGTTTTTTGTTTGTTGCTGTGGCTTATCAGGTGGGCTGTATCTAATACAGACCACCTTATATTTTTGTTAAAATAACCTTTATTATTATTTATTTATTTTTCTTATTTTGACCCACTTTTTTGTTAGCAAGATAACTTTGAAATGGTTCAATCAAATGCTTTGATATTTGGCACACATATGTATAGGCATATGGACAAGACACGGTAAGGTTTTCAACCTTGACCTTGACTGATGACGTCATCTAGGCGCCATTTTGTGAAATTTTCCGAAAATCATCTCATGATCATATCTTCATAACCAAAAGGTATTTCTCATTCATATTTATCACGATCAAGGTCAATATCAGTCCGGTTAATTTCAAATAAAAAAACGCGCGCGTGTGTGTACGTCCGCGCGTCAGTGCGCGCGCAAAAAATTTAAATGCTCAAAATCGTCTCAAACTTTTTTTGCATACGTTTCAGGTCATTTTAAGCATTTTATAAAAAATCGCGCGTATGAGCATGCGCGCGTGTTTTCGTGTTTTTTTCTTTCATGATATTTCTCATATTTTTTCAAGGAATTTGATACCATGTTTATCTCTTTATGACCATTATTAACAAGATGAGCGTAAATTCAAGATAAATGTCAGTGCGCGCGAGCTCTTTTAATACATAGCATATATGGGCAAAAACATGCCTATACAAAATCCGTTATAGCTCTTTGGAATGCACCGGAATCCTCAATTTTTTTTTCATATTTAGATAGAGTATGAGTCGGAAATATGATTCCATGTCTCATTTGGCCATTAAGTGTATCGTGACATCATCACAATGGCCTTGGAACTCAAAATACGAATTTGCATATTATGACGTCAGCATATTTATGTAAAATTTATTGTATCTCTGTAAATATTGATCAATTTTCTTCAAAATGTTGATATGTTGTAGCTAAGACAATTCTCTACAAGCTCAGTTAACACTATTTTTCATTTTGATGACGTCATCATAGTGAAAATTTTGGTTAAAGGCCTCATGTAAAAAACTTCATAATTTGCGTGTTATGCCTATAGAAGGTGAATTTAGTTCACGTTATGAATCTACATGATATTGTCTTTTAAGAATTTGTAAGCAGTATGTCGCTTATTTTTGCTCTATTTTGTCTCAAATTTTAGTTGACCAGCCCACCTATACTTGTTCCAAACAAGTATTATATGTCTAGTTTTGTTTATTCTTGCTGTTTCCGGCATTATATATGAACAAGGCTTTTATTGAGTGAACAACAAAAAATATTTCAATGATTGTATGAAAGACATCTCCTTGAAGACATGAGTCACACTATCTAATGTACTAGATTGTTGTCAGTGTTCCCTTCTCTTCTCTTCCTTTCTCTTTCTATTATAAAATTAAAAGTCAAACCTGTCTATAGCGACCACCCAAGGGAAACACAAAAAGTGGCCTTTGAAGACAGGTTTCTTGAGTACATGTTTCAATGAGAAACCATTTTCAAGGATGACAAAAAATCTGGTCTTTGTAGAGAGGTGGTCACTAAAGCAAGTTTGATAGTATATGTTGTTTCTCATGCGGAAAAAATGATTTGATTTAATTTGATTCAATTTTTAATTTGTTTCACTTTGATTTGATATTTCCATAACAACAAACAAGAAGACATCGTTCATCCTGAAGATTATTTCTCCCTTTTTCCTTTTTTCCAAATGCTTACCGATGCATGGAGACGAGGCATCCAGATGTATGCAGAGACGAGAAGAGAAGACATCTTCTGGACCACTGACCACGCCCTATCTTTGTTACCTCCGTACAGGAGAAAGAGGGTACAAAGGAACCAGTCATGACCTGGATAGTCCCCTTGTAAGCAATCTACAAATGACAGAATTACTGCTAAGGAAAACTAGAGTAAAATAATAATAATAATAATCTGGATTTATAAAGTGCTTCATACAAAATACCATCTCTTAGGGCTTTAACGGTCATCAGCTTCATTTACACACAATGTGCACCATCTCTACTCTCTGGAGATTATTCCTACCTTATGGTCACCATGAGGGCACATGGAAATTACTAATACAAATCCTTTCATCATCCTATCAGGTCCCCATTTCTTTCATGGGTATGGAGTGGCAAATGTAGATTAATGTCTTACTAATGGACATTAGTTCCGTGTCGGAGATCGAACCCACGACCTTTGCATTTCAAGTCTAATGATTAAATCACTCGACTACGACACCTCTGCATTTAATATCAAGCCAGTTGTATCAACATTTTTTTGAAGAAAATCAAAATATAGAAATAACAAATTAACGGAAATGCACGTTTAGAATGTGATCGAAAGGTCAAGTCAAATACATTAAGCCATTATAATTTTAAAACCATGACCTTCATTAAAGAATTCAATAATGTTATATCCCTTGTTTATACATGTACTTTTAATGAATACATTGTCATCAGTATTCATCATTATGTAAATTAAATTGTTGGCGATCATAAAGAAATAACGAATATTACGCACAAGAAAGAAATCCTTAGAAATTGAAAAGCTGATACTGTATGATATCAAGTCCATGAAATTACAGCAAGCAATTTAATCAGCATAATAACACAATTGTCTTTAATTTCTGAGCCATTAACAGCAAAAGATAACATACAAGCGAGTTAATGAGCTATTTAACATAGCAAATTTTAGAGTGAAAGGATACGCATCTCTGATTCCATGTTTCTCTGTTGACTGTGCAGAAAGTACTTCGACCTCTTAAGGAGTACTGTCAGATCATCTGTCGCTTCACCAGGACTGAGTAACACCTTCAGCTGCTGCCCATACCTGATTCATAGCAAACGTAACAACAGAGACCAAAATGAGTTAAATTGGATGACCGCAATAGTGACATTAAATGTAGAATATGTAGTTGTCAGGTTCTGTACCCAGAAGTTCCCTTTTGTCATTGTTGCTTTTTTTGTTTTGTTTTCACTGCTGTTTAATTCAAGAAATAATCTGAACAGCAAGGACCCTTTGATAAAGGATCCACACCAGTTCCCAGAACTGATTTTAAAAACGGCAACCATTGTTTGTTAGTTTCATTAAGGCCTAAAAAAACTAGATGGAATTTTGACTGCGCGCAGTCAAAAATGATGCCTCCGCCATAGAGCAACTTTACAAACCAAAACGGAAGCAATTTTTAAAATTCAATATTGATTGTAATCCATCTGTCGGTTTTAATAATAATGCATTCACAAACATTTTATAGTCATACATAATGAGCCCCATGACCTTTGACCTGATGACCCTAAAATCTAATCAGTTAATTGCCTCTGCAAGATACATATATACATGTCTTGAGTTTGATAGTAATATGTCTATTGGTTCTCATGATAATGCGATCACAAGCTATTTGTGCATACATAATGAGCCCTGTGACCTTTGACCTCGTGACCCCAAAATCTAATCAGTTCATTGGCTCTGTTAGATACAAACATGACCCAAGTTTGGCAGGAATCCATTGACCGGTTCTTGAGATAACGCGATCACAAGCTATTTTTGTATACATAATGAGCCCTGTGACCTTTGACCTTCGACCTCGTGACCCCAAAATCTAATCAGTTCATTGGCTCTGTTAGATACATACATGACCCAAGTTTGGCAGGAATCCATTGATCGGTTCTTGAGATAATGCGATCACAAGCTATTTTTGTATACATAATGAGCCCTGTGACCTTTGACCTCCGACCTCGTGACCCCAAAATCTAATCAGTTCATTGGCTTTGTTAGATACATACATGACCCAAGTTTGGCAGGAATCCATTGATCGGTTCTTGAGATATTGCGATCACAAGCTATTTTTGAATACATAATGAGCCCTGTGACCTTTGACCTTCAATCTCGTGACCCCAAAATCTAATCAGTTCATTGGCTCTGTAAGATACATACATGATTCAAGTTTGGAGAGAATCCATCAATTGGTTCTTGAGATAACGCGATCACGAGAACGGGACGTACGGACGTACGGACGGACGGACGGACAACCAGAAAACATAATGCCTCCGGCTACTTTGTAGCGGAGGCATAAAGATGCTGTATTGCCCTTTAGTTGCCAAACCATGGGTCTGTCAGTCAGAAATTTGTTTATTTTTTATTTATTTATTTTTTTTACTCCCTCTTTGGGCGGATATTTCTCAGTTTTGACATTTTTTTCTCTAAAAATCAGTATTTTTTTTTTTTTTTAAAGCCGACCGTAGATTTCAAAATTATAGGCATAACTGGTACAAGACAAAAGCAAGAGATGAGCCTTGTTTCCCTAGGGAACTAACCTGACTGCCATTCTGGTGCCGAACTCCTGGAGACTGGAAAGCTTCTGGTTCTTGATAGAGCTGTCCTTGATGACACCCTGTCTGGTGGGGATGATCTGGAATTCAGGTAGCTCTGATTGGACGTTGACTACCTGCTCTAACAGATCAGCAAGGGCTGGATGGAAGGAGAGAAGTTTACAGAGAAACAGTTACTTGATAGATTCTAGATAGATTCTTGAAAGATTCTTGAAAGATTATTGAAAGATTCTTGAAAGATTCTTGATAAAGCTGTCTTTGAAGACACCCTGTCTGGTGGGGATGATCTGGAACTCAGGTAGCTCTGATTGGACATTGACTACCTGCTCTAGCAGATCAGCCAGGGCTAGATGAAGAGGAGTTTTAAGAGTAGCAGTTACTTGATAGATTCTTGAAAGATTCTTGATAAAGCTGTCTTTGTAGACACCTTGTTTGGTAAGGATCATTTGGAGCTCAGGTAGCTCTGATTGGACATTGACTACCTGCTCTACAAGGTCCGCTGGGGCTGGATGGAGAGAAGTTTAAAGAGAAACAGTTACTTGATATATTCTTGAAAGATTCTTGATAGATTCTTGATAAAGCTGTCTTTGTAGACACCTTGTCTGGTAGGGATCATCTGGAACACAGAAAGCTCTGATTGGACATTGACTACAGGTCTGCTCTAACAGATCAGCCAGAGCTCGATGAAGAGTTTAAAATAACGCATTACTTGATGAATTCAAATTATTGATAAAAGCTGTCTCTTGTTTGGTAGGGTTGGTCAGAAATTGGGGCAGAAATATTTTCTGGATTTTTTCTTTTCTTTAATAGAGTAATAATTCTCTCCTTACAACCTGAGCTTTGGAAATTACCAAACTAATAAAAGCAAATAATATAAAATATGAAAAATGTGATTTCAGTCACAAGCAATGAGGTTTAATATACCAGGCATTGACAATGAGATCTTTATGTCAAGAAAAAATAAAATAAGTTTGGACTCAACGAGTTAAACAGTTCCCTGACGATATCTTACTTTTGGAGTTGAGGGCATCATGTTTGTCCATCAGTACATTGACAAATGTTTCTCTGCAGTTAGCTAACCAGTCGATGGTGTTATTCACGTTGGACAGAGCCCGGCTTAGATCAATGTCTGGGAAGAGAATAAAACATCATACAAGAAAGTCATATACAATGAGTTACAATTAATTCTCAAATAACAAACAAAATTGTCTCCAAGTGCTTAAAAATACAGGTGTAAAACTAAATTGTTGATATCTTTAATTAACAGCAAGATACTGGTACACATATTTCTGAATAACATTTTCCAATGGCGCAGTAGACAAATAAAATCTACAAAACATTTTGCTAAGTAGATATCTATCTAGATTTTGTCTTTCTTGGTCAAGATAAATTGTTGCAAACTTTTCCACAATGGTTTTCAAGAAGGCAGCTTAATATTTTGTTACATTGCCTCAGATTCTGTAACAAAATCCTGGATTTAGCTCGTGCTGCAATCATAATTGTAAATCTTTAGGTCAGTCAAAATTTCATTTTTTCGTTTTCCTAACGTTTTTTATAACAATACAGTCTACTGGGGAAAATGAGTATGGTAAAACTAGTCACTCAAAAATGTTTACTTTTTGAGGAACTTCATGATCATTTTGAAGCACAATTTTATTAGGGCTTCAATATTACACCATATCACAGACACTGATAACACGTAGGGCCATGCATCTCAGATTTAACATTGTTAAACGATGCCTTTGATAGGAATCAACTATTTTCTCACTTGAGTGACACTTCCATCAAAGTTATTTGATCTTTCATGATTTCTGAATACCTCATAACTCACATATATAATTCTCATATAAAGAACTGTGATAAAAATTTGAACAACAATAAGGAAAGTAGGAGCGATCTATCTTACCTTGCTTGAGCGCTGATGGTCTGGATACTGCAGGGATGTACTCCTTAGGTACCGGGAAGCAGGTCACTACGGGCCAAGGGAAGGGTTCCTCCTGGTCCTCTGAGAGGGTCCTTGGTGGTAGGATGCGCTCCCTGGGACCACCGATCACGTAAGACCGCACCAGGATGTGGGTGCGTTCTATTGACAGTGCATCCACCATTACTTCACTGCAGGGATTAGAAGATCCATTCAACTCAATTCAATTCAGTATGTGTTCATTGGTTTGTTTCCACTATCTATAATGTGTAGTGTAATGTGTTATTTATTACAATATATATTAATTTTTGTTGGTAACGTGTACAACCATGTAATCTTGTTATTTATTATCTATGTCAGGGGACTATTGCTTACAAGTATTACAAGCTTCCTTTTTAGTCTCCAATAACTTCATGATTTCCAGAATTGTAAGATTATGGTTATTTCATGTTACTTTCATATATGTATTATTTTATGGCTTTATGATGGAAATAAATGATAATGAATTAAATTTAACAGAGCAGTAATATGAGTATGATACCGATGAAAAAATTCATAGAAATCAAAAGAAAGTTCATATGTCAGGATGCTGAAACTACACTAAGAAATGCTATTGACCACACAAATGTGAAAGAACATTTAAAACAGTAGAGCAAATCTGGTTCAGTCTAATCCAACATGTTTTTTGCTCTGTGCATGTTTTCATCAGGCTTTAATTAGCATATTAATATTATCCTTTTCCAATCATCTCTAATAGGTGAGGATTCAGTCTTCAAACAAAATGATCAAAGACTTTGGAGCAGTGATATGCAGTTGATATTAAAATTATTAACTAATGAAAACTTTTGATCCGTTGTGATCCCACACATTACAAATGCAGTTATAACACTTAGTCCTGATAGCCTAGGCTTTTTTATATTTATTCATTTTTTCTTTTTTCTTGGGGAGAGGGGAAGGGGGACTGGTGGTAGATTCCTTACCCCTTTTCCATGCAGTTATTCATCTGTGCCTCCAGCAGCCTGTCCCAGATCCTGTATTGAGTTTCTAACAGTAGCAAGGTATCCAGGCACGAAACCAACACACTCAGTAATCTGAAAACAAATAGAAATACAGGCAACATATTTCAAATTTTCTTTGGACAATACTAAGCAAAGCATACAGAAGGACCAGCATGATTTGTTGTTTCTCATTTTTCTTCTCTTATCCTGATGGAACACAAATAGAAAATCAATACACCTTCTCTGCTTGGGCTCTCTGATTAAGAGGAAGTCCACCCTGATATTAAGTTAGTTTTAATACCTGCTTTTTTTTAAATACCAGCCAATTATTAGGGTAGACTTCCCTTTTAAGAATATTTGCCTATATCAATCTGCTATAGCCACAAACTACTTGCGAAACATACTCTTTGCTCTTTATACATGAGTAGGCTTGCGGGTGCACCATGTGAGAGAGAGAGAGAGAGAGGAGTCCTGAAAAGATTACAGAGTCAAGAAAGATTACAGAGAGTCCTTTTCAGGACTCCTCAATCCTCCCTCTCTCTCTCTCACATGGTGCACCCGCGAGCCTACTGTATATCTACATCACCATGCAAGCTGATACTTACAAGCAGCATCTTTGCTCTTTGTTTACAAACAAACAAACAAACATATAGGATATTAAGCAAATACTTCTGTTTAATTGTTAATTGATTGGTTTGTTTACCTTAGACCAAACACATTACTCTCTTCTAGATTGAAAAGAGAGTGCTGCTTAGCTTCTGAGTCCACCAGGATCAGACGATCAATCACATCCTGAAATCACAAGAAATTATCATACATCTGAGATTTCTCATCACTTCATAGGCATAATTTCAATGACAACAACAGCAATAATAATAATAATAATAATAATAATAATAATGATAATATGATGATAATAGCTATATTATATCTTAACATATATTTGCTCATTGCTCAGATTAGAAATATTCTCTATCAGACTTATTTGACAGATGTCATTTATTTGCAGTTAAACATTTCATGAAAAAGTTTTCTGAGAATTATATATATTGAGCAATACCAAAAAGAAGAGCTTTGAAATTTGGTGTAAAATATCTTCCATGTGAAAGACTTCATTACAGGTGATTACACTATTTTAAGTCTAATCTTACAGTACAACATTAAATTTGAAAGTGAAATTTGCAGCCTAGGGTAATGAAAAGGCTATTATCAATTTTTATAACACATGTATATTACAACAAAAACAAGAACTGCTTTCATAAACTTTGGAAAGCAGATTCTTTAGGGATCTAATCTTACAGGAATAGTTTCAGGCATCTCCCTGAACGAGTAGGATTCCTTGTTCTTCAGGGGTTGGTTGGCTAGGACTTCATAGACGGCAGGGAACGCTGACAGCAGGTTCACCATGTTCAGAAAGTACTGTACAGAGAAAATAAAAGAAGATAAGAGAGAACATGAGAGACATGATGAAAGACTGTGACAGTGGTGTTTGCTCTTTTCAACACTAAAAGAGTTGTGGGGACAAAACTCTGGGGCACTTGCTAGACTGGTTCAACTTGCTATGCAGGCATTAGCATACTCAAAAACTACTTTTCAAATTATTTGCATTTAAAGTTTTGTTTTATATTTAAACTGCTTTCCTTCCGTAAAATTGGTTTAAAACTGAAAAGACTACCGGTAATAGAAATGTAAAAGTAGAAAACAGCCACAATTTTTTTCTCAGAAATAAGTCAGTTTTATAAAAGTTTGAGGCTATTTAGTGCTAATGCCCTTCTGCTTAATGTTTCATTTTTTACCTCAAAATCGAGCTAACGCCCTTCTGCCACCCAGGCAACGATATACGTAATTCTGTATACTGGAAAATATGCAACTTCTACAACCATCTTTCTGGGACAAAATCAAAGAATGTTTCAAAGGACATGGAAAATACATAATGTAGCTTGTGTCATAAAAATAATGATCAAACATTTTTGTATAGCACAGAACATATAGGTATTATTGCATGTCTCTATGCGCTTTACAGAACAGAATACAGGAGTGGAAATGGTATAATGGGCTCATAATTGTGAGATCTTACAAAGTGCTAAATGGATATGTTTCATAATCGTATTTCATTATCCCTCTACAAAACCTGTATTTAACACATGTCAGACCTTAAAGGGGGTGTAGCATGACAAGACTATGTGTCTTTCCCGTGGCCTGACTCTGGGCCAATTGGGTATAATACGACTACGGACAATTCGACCGCAGTATTCACGTGCGTGCAACATACGTGAAACTGAAGCGTGGGAGAACTTTGTCTGTTTCGTGAACGCTTGCGCACGCTGACCATTGATTAATTAAGTCCATTCGTTTATGTGCAGTTTTTCAAAAGATTGTTTCCCTCTTTCATTCCGTCCCTATTCTCCCTATGGACCTTTGGCATTGTCTTTGAGTATGAGTGACTGACCTTGTGAGTTATCCTGTCCATGGGTTGGGTGGGGTATGGAGCTGGTCTTTGGACTGACGGATGGTCATCCTTTCCACATTCTAGAACTGACCACATCTCAGTGGTCAATGCCTTGATGAAACCTATTATGGTAATTTAAGGCATCATTTAACAATGTTAAATCAGAGATGCACGGGCCCTTCGTGTTATCAGTGTCTGTGATATGGTGTAATATTGAAGCCTTAAAAAAATTGCGCTTCAAAATGATCAAGAAGTGCCTGAAAGAAGTAAAAATCTTTGAGTGACAGGCTTTACCATACTCATTTTCCCCAATAGACTGTAGTGTTATGAAAACTGTTAGGAAAAATGCAAAATTTGATTTCCATTTCCAATTCTAAATATCTTGATAATCAGACAGGCAATCGGCTTGTAAAAGTCATAGGGTACCTGACTGACCTAAATGGTTTATAATTATCATTGCAGCATGACAATTTCTTTTAAAAAATGTCACAACTTTTTTTATTTACCTGTAAGTCAATTTACATTGTAGTCAATACAAAATATCAGAAATAATCAAAATTTTGAATAAATCAAACATTGAAGGATATAAACAAGAATATATTTTACCCTAAAATAAATTTCTACACAGATATTAATGATGATAAGAATTAACACAAGTTTGACCTTTATTTGATTTTCAAAAGTAGGCATTATGAATGATAAATGGTACATAGAGAGAAACAAAACGTTTTTAGAGAGTAAGTATGCAAGGAAAAAACATATGACATTCAACATCCATAAGCAAAAAAAAAAAATGGATATAAATATGTATAAATAAATAAATATATTTATATATATATATAAATGGAAATTCAACAATCAAACCCTTTTCAGTTTACATAACAAATACCAGTAAACCTTACAAAGAGGACCCCTATAGAAGGCCAGTCAATATAAAGACTTGAAGATGGTTGAGAGTGAGTACTCACCGGAGCTCTGAAGAGCAGCCATGCCTGGAGCAGTAGCTGATACCTGGGTTACCATGGTACCATAACCAAACTTCTCCATCTTGCTCACCTGGTATCAACAAATTGAACACACAGAAGAGAGATTACACATAGCTTCTTCAAATATATACAATCATTTGGCTGAATCGGTATTGTCTCTGTGATGTATTGGCGGACAACTTTCTCATTTGTTCCAACACACAAAATGACTGAAATTTTGATTCTTCAAAAATGTTCGGAATGGGCTTTTCTTATTATAAGACCTGTCTTAATGTACACTTGGGAGAAAAACATAACTTTGTGATATTTTTGTAAACAACAAATGGGATGATTATCCATCCACTACATCACACTCCACTGACAAAACTTGCCAATTTGAGATTCAAACATTTCATGCATTCATAACTTTCTTATTGTTGGTCCAATTCATTCAAACTTTTGCCATTCTGTTTCTCTGTTTTCATTCAAATGAACTTATTACAAGGGTTAGATTGCCCTTTAAAGCCCATCTGCACTAGTTTTGCCATGAGGGATTAGACCTCCCTGCATGGTCACTGACAGCTGGTTATCTCATCAAATCATCTCTCAATTTACTACCGTAAGAAAAAGGGGATCATGGGGGACCAATGGTTACCGCTTAGGCATTGTTTGCTATTACGAGGGCGCAAGTAGCTACAAGTAGTGCAGTCCCGCTTTAAGACCTTACCTGTAGTTTCTTAGTGTATCTTCCATACATGTAAGCCACACACTCATTGATCACACCAGTCTGTTGGAGCAGCAGCATACCCTGATGATAATAATAAAGATCAGAGAGTGTAAATCACATATCAGTACTTGCAGTGAGATAAATGTTTCCACAATTTAATACACAAGTAATATAAATGAGGGGGCACAATCTTATTTTAATCTTGTCTCAAAATCTCATTTTGTTTTCCATTAAAATGCATTTGTATTCATTTTGTTAGCATCCTTACATTCATTTGTGCAGTGGTGGATTGAGGTTGTGTTTCATAAATTCCCATTCTGTAACAGTACATTTATAATATGATAAAACATATTTGACACTGTAATGGAAGTTTGCACATTATGATTCTTTTTTTTTCATAGGTTGAGTCCATATCTTATTTTCCAAACTCAATAATGTAGGATAATATGAGATGAAAAGGATAGTGTTTTAAGCGGTAGCTGGATTTTTTTCTTTCTTCCTTCCATCAGGGAGCCTAACTTTACTATTGGAGAGGTGCTGTAGTCGAAAGGTTTAAACACTTGACTTGAAATGCAAAGGTTGTGCTTTGATCCATAATGTCCTTTGGCAAGGCATTAATCTACATTTGCCACTCCATACCCAAGAGAGAAATGGGGACCCAGTTGGAAAACGAAAGCATTTGTGTTAATAATTGCCATATGCCCTCACAGTGACAATATTGGATGGAATACTACCCAGTGAGTGAAGATGGTGCACAATGTGCGTGATTGAATCAGATGACCGGGGTAATAATATCTGTACAGCGCTTTAAGACGGAATTTCGTTTTAAGCGGTTTATAAATGCAGATTATTATTATTATTATTATTATCACCTTTGGAGTACCAGCAAAGTTAAGGAGGTTGTCAAGGAGGTTCTGCTCCCACATGAAGGCATCTCTAGCTTCCATGTTCTCCGGTGTGACTTCTGATTCCTCCATCACGGGCGTGTCCCCTAGCTCCACCTCTCTGCTTACCTAACATACCGGTAGGGAAATTCTATCAGTTATGAATAGCATGGAAGTCATCACCAAAATGTATCCATGTTTTGTATCATATTTCTGTTCTTTGTAGACTTTGTCCGAGCCTCTATTTGACATGTGAGTGAGACGAATATCTATTTCGTATGTACATCCGGCAAATGAATACATTGAATTGAATGGAATTGAATTGAATAACATGGAAGTTATTTAATTGTGCATAAATCTAACCTAACATCATATATATTCATTGTAATGGGTTGTCATAAGTCTGCTGGTCTGCACTACATTTATCCCACACAATATAATTATTCTTAAACTGGCACTACAATACAAAATGAAGAATAACTTTTAAACCCTCCCTGATTAAACAACACACAAGACGAATCAACATTGTATTAAATGCAAAGAGAGTAAAAATTTGACAAAGAAGTTTGAGACCAAGACGCAAAACTTGGTTTGAAATTCTAGCTGAAGATCTCAGACTGCTAAACATTGTTAAAATTAAAATGTTGTCTTCTCACCTCTCTCCAAGCATTTGCTACTGAATGATGAAGCCCGTAGGGGTGTAGTATCAGCAGACCTTCTGGAGTACAGTAGAGCTGACGACAGACATACAAGAAGACTCCAATGACCGGTCTGGAGGGCTGAGTTAGGAACTCAGTGCCTACAGGCTGGTCCATCGCTCGCTTGCAGAACTCAGAAATGATATGCACAGCAGCATTCCTGCATGCCAGAAAAAAATGAAACAGTTTCATTAAACATACAGCAAATGATTGTATGCATACTTTAGGCATGGCGCCAATGTCCTTTGGGAAGGCATTAGTCTACATTTACCACTCCATACCCAAGAGAGGACTGAGGACCTGGTAGGATGAAGAAAGCATATGTGTTAGTAATTGCCATATGCCCTCAACAGTGACCATATGGTAGGAATACTTAAACTCTCCAGGGAGTAGAGATGGTGCACATTGTGCGTGAATGGATTCAATAACAGGGGTAATATATGTAAAGCTCTTAGAACGGTATTTTGTATTAAGTGCTCTTTGAATCCTGATTGTTACTATCATTTAGAATCATTTATCCTTGCTTTGTGTTTGTTAGCATAAGGTATATCATGAAATGTTGTTATTCCTAAATAACTAGGTATTTCATACAACAAAGAGTTTTTCATTTCGTCATTTAATGTCAACTCAGTAATCCTTATTTCAAATCCAAAGGTGGAATTACTAGATACCAATGTGTCCCTATAAAGATGAACTATATCACAATCTGTAGTTAGCTATTCCCTCTTTCGACTTGTACACACAACAGGTTAAAATATATCTGTAAAGCACTTTAAGACATTGTAGATGTATTAAGTGATATATAAAAGCAGAATATTATTATCGTTATTAAAGATGGAAATGAGAGAATCCAATAAACCTGTTACCCTGCATGTGTTGTTGGATACAGGTATACTTACGGAGTGTGTTGGAAGGTGCTGCCATTCTCTCCATAGAGTAGTAGCTTTGTGCCAGTCTCCCAGCTTGCCATGGCTGATAGTACTTCAGCAACACAGAGCATTGTTAGGTCACTAGAAGGCTGAACAAGACAACAAATAATAAATTAGAATTTGAATTATTGTTATGCTTGTAAGTAAAAAGCAATCAGGGTACCAACAGCTTTAATTAGTCCTCACCGAGGGACTTGGTAATGAGGACTAATGCCTTACCGAAGGGCACTATCACATCGACTTTGTTTCGAACCCGCGACCTCCCAGAACAATTTATTGTTATTGTACATAATCACTGTAGATCAATGCAATTTTTAGCAATTATTTATTTAGTAACATGCTTCTTTAAAAGATGATTAATTGCACATCTATAAACAACAATAAATGTGTATATCAGCATTAAACATGCAGCAGAGAATATGAAATATATCCTATAAAACATTTTATGGTGTATCTTAAATCTTATCTAATGGAATATGAGTATCGCAGCTCAACTAATACATGACACAAGCTGTTTGCAAATATCAAATTACATATTCCTTGGTCTATTATCATATCTAATGTTATCCATCTATTGGAATTACTACAGTGATACAAAAATAAGAAATGAATGCATTAGGTTGCAATGAATATTTGCAATGTTCCTGCAATTTCTTCTGGAAATATCTCAAAGAGGCAGAGGCTCATCACATTGGTGTAATTACAATTTCCCTACATGATACAGTTGCTGCATTTAATCTGATAAACCACTGACCCGCTCCCATGCCATATGACCTTTGACCCTACCTGATCCTTGTTCAGCCAGTCGTTGACAGGCTTGAGAATATCGGTGACCACCTCATCTTTGCAGAGGCATTCCACACATGCTGCTCGGTCCGTACTCACAATCTTCAGCATCTCTGTGACCAACATAGCTGGGCTTGGAGCACCTGCAATAGACCATTAGGATTCACTATTGGTTGCATTCAATAAAACTACAAGCAGTCTCGACCAGAGCTACAAACTGACTTGGTTGTATGCTAAAATTACAACGGGTGAGGTAACTGTGGGTACTTGGTAGAATTATTCCTTGACATGCACTGTGTGCTGTTAATGGCTGCCGGAGCTAAAGCTCGGGTAATAATTTCCAAAGTTCCTTGGAAGCGGATAGAGACGTTATATAATGTGATATGCACTATACAAGAACCAAATATTATTATTATTATTATTAAATATTTGGTTTATCAAATGTCTTATGTCAAATGTTTATTATGTCTGGAACCCAGAGTTAACAATTGGTTTGGTGGTGAAAGTACATGTATAATAATACAGTCAGACCTATATTAGCGGCCACCTTTATATAAAGGCCAGTTCTCAATAGTGATCCTCTAGGAGGAAACGTGTGTTGAGGAACCTGTCTAAAAAGGCCACCTGTCTACAGTGGCCACTTTTTTGTGTTTCCCTTCAGTGGCCTTAATAGACAGGTTTGACTATATCAGTGTTAATACTGTAGTTAATTCTGTCTACATGCATTCAAGGAATTTCGACATAAATGGAGTTAGATGAAGTTATGTTAAGATTGTTGCCAAAGCTTAGACAGATATTTTTAGTATTTTTTAAAATATTGTCCGAACGGCAACATCTCGGCCCCATCTTATAAAGAGATCCGATTGACATGATCTGAATCAATTGCAAGTCCTCTAATCAATCTCAAGTTTATAGTCTCCAATCTCTTATGTTTATAGTTGTGATTGATATCAATTTTAATCGCAACTGTTTATGAGACGGGGCCCTGATAGCCCAGTTGGACATATGTGCCATCTGCATAATACCTACCTGTGTCAGTAGGCATGTTGACCTGGAATGACCTCTTGGTGATCAATGGCAACAGACTCCTCACAAGCTCAGTAAGGGTCACTGTTTTGACACGGAAAACAAAATCAATTGAACACATAACACAGGATAAGAACAGAGTCAAATGTCAGTTTGAAAGAAAGACATAAAACCTGTATGAAAATGCCCCACTGATAATAATATAATAATATTCTGCTTTTATATAGCGCCCAATACATCGATACAACGATGTGTCTAAACGCTTATTTGACACTGATGTGTTTGGGGGGTTGACGGTGAAGCGCATTCATATTAACATATTGCACATGATCACCTAAACTCTCTTTTCTGTTGGAATAAAGTCATTTCAAATCATTGTAAATTTTTTTTTTTACAAACAGTTTAACCCCCAATGATATGCTATATAGATGATGAAGATTAGTATCAAAGGTGAGGTAGATCCAGGTCCTGAAAGAAACAAATCCCACCACTGCCATCATAGTATATATCAATCCAGGATGTATGCATAATGGCATAACTGGCATAAAACAAAGCAAAGGTGATAACTGCCAAAGTCCCCAATATTTGCTTTTCTGTCTCATCAGTCAAAGTAGTGTTCCGCCACATAACATATCATTTGTTTGGAAGTAGAAGGGCTTTGATTCTACACAGTATTTTATCAGTTAATGTTCTTTTGATTCTCAAAAGACATTTTAAAGAATAGACACAACATCTGTTTGGAAGCAAAAAGGCATTGATTTATCACTTAGGCCCAAATTCACAAAGGAGGTTATAAATTTAACCCATGGTCTAAAATAAGCCCAAAATAAGCGAGACATTGTTAGAGGTCCAATATTAGACGCGCGCAAGGCAAGGTACGCTTAATTTGCACCAATCTTAAACCATGGGTTATGTAACTGAGGGTTTAAACCATTGTTAAATTTAAACCTCCTTCGGCCTTAATGTCCTTTTGGATCTCAAAAGAAAATGGACTCACCTTCTTTGCCATGTACCTTGACAGGGAAGAGTTGCCTGCCGTTGTCATAGACAAGGAGCCTGCCAAGGATTGAGAGGGACTGAATGAAGACCAAGAACTCAAGCTCCTTCTCGGTGTACTTGGTTCTACGAGAAGAATCTGGGGATCAAAACATAAAGATCATTTGATATTTTTAAAATTACTTAAACAATTTCATGTCCTCAGTGAGATACCAACCTCTTGACACAAAAAACAGCCTGAGTATCCTAAAAAAAAATCAGATTTTCACAAAAACTTGACACTATCACTGGCGCGTTGGCCCTGGGCCAGTAAAATTTCTGAAAAATGTTATACTGGTATAAACGGTCAAGTAAAATGTTTGCTCTTTCATTAGAATTAAATGAGAAAAGTGTATGGCAAAGTTTTTGTTGGGGTTGCGGGGGTTTACTTGTACATGTTTCTATGCAATTCCGCAATTTTGATGGGTTTTTTAATCTTTTGTTTTTGGAAAGATGAAAAATCATATTTTTAAAGGTGATATCTTATTATCGTACAAAATACGATTTAATCGTACTGGTTAGCATCTCTCGCTCTCTACAATTCTTTTAATCCTCAACCCCTAAATAGTATGTTCTTATAAAATTCAAAATTTAACTTGATTAACTCAATTTACATCATGAGCAACACCTGCATGAAGAGCGGCACAAGTGGATTAATATGTTTTACCAAAGGATGTTAGTGCTGGGCTGGGATTTGAACCCTCAACCCTTGGATTGAGAGCCAAGTGAATGAACCACTATACCACAACACCTCCAAAACATATCTAAATAGTAATTTCTTTAATCATAGATAATTAAATCTCTGTCGATAGAAAAATGTCTATTCTATCATCAAAATCTGTATTTCATCACAAGCTTTCACAAGTTTAAATGCATTTTATGTTACATACTTTTTTTTTTTAAAGTAAATATTTGGATTCCTTGCTCAAACCATTGCTTCAAGTCCTGCTGTTGAGTTCCCAAGCTACCACATACATGCAAAACGATCATGGTAAGGCTAGCTTCTACCCTATCCAGTGGAGCATAACACATTTTTATAACCAAAGTTTGAATTGCTCACCCAGTCTGTTCATGTTGAAGCGATCGGAGAGGTCATTCATGGAGTCTAGCCAAGCTGCCCGGGAATCCACAAACTCCAAGCACTGGGTAACTGCATTCACAAGCTGAGGTCAAATTCAGGATGAAATGTTTAATCAAGGCTTTGCTTAATCAAATTACCAATCAAAGTTTGTACTTTAAAGTCAGAACTCAATGAATAAGCAGACATAATTTAAAAGACAGAATGACATCTTTTACATATTCTTAGTATAGAGTCCATGATGACACAATCACATGAACTTGTATTTTATACAGCGCTACACAGTGATATGTATCTTAATTTCTATCCAAAACCAAGATGAACTACGAATAAAATGTTATGCTCCAATCAGGAAATCCTACAAGAAATACCGATACAGAAAACTTTTTAATGAATAATGGTAGGTATGGCAAAGGATAAATCTATCCATCCTTCTGATTTGAACTGAAATGTAGTATGACATGAAGTCATTTAATGTCTAGTTTTGCTCCCTGTCCAATGCCATACAGGATTAATCTTTTCATCTCTTATAGCCTGCAGTATTATGGTTCAATACAGATATGAGAAGTAGGATTTAAAAGATTACATACTATTCAGAAGTACAATTTGAGTATTAAAAAAAAAATGGAATATGATAATAAAAATAAAATCAAAATTTGTTGATCTTACCAGGGTATTTTTATCCTTGAGATGGCCAAGAATGATAGTCCTGCTGTAGTGCCCATGCTGAGTAGGGAAAAACACATAAAAACTACTTTAAGCAAGTGTTATTAATGAGCCAGAGTGAATATCTTGGACATGTCAGACAGTGTGGCAAAATTCTGTGAATGATTTTGAGGAAATAAATTCTTTCATTAAGATCTTATTTTCTAGGGCCTGTCTTAATATTGGAGAGTTGATATTAATCGCAACTATGTACATAAGTGATAGGGGACTGCAAACTTGACCACGCCCCCCTTGAGTAAAAAAAAAGAAGAGGATTCTGGGGGAAAATGGCATCTCACAACATTCCCCCTTTTGAGTAAGAAAATAGTAAGAAAATTGGGAAAAACTGACTTGCGACTGATTAGGATCCATCACAACTCCTTATATGCCGGGGCCCTGATATACCTAAAATGTCCCCTTTCATAATATTCATAAGGAATTAATTTCTTCTTTCAAAACATTCATATCTAATATTTCAAGAGACGGTTTGGAAATGTTTCCGACCAAATTTTGCAAGTGAAACACATAAAGAGTGCTAAAACTACTCCTTTTCCAAAATGTTCGATATAACTCATGCCTATGCAGTAATTTCACATGCCATCTAATTTGGACCCATATAGCTCCTTAAGAAGTATTCAGACTTTGTAATAGAAAGCTTTACGAACAGTGCCCTGTTTCATGAAACTTATTATCTATAACAAATGATTAATTTCTATTACAAATTTGCTCTCAGCCAATCAGATGCCACGATTTCAGTAGCTTAAAACAGTTGTTATTGATAACAAGTTTTATGAAACAGGGCCCAGAAGTATATCTAGAGCAAATACATACCATCCACTTCTTGAACCAGAGAGCTTTAGGGTCCAGCAGGGAAATGTAGTGCATGGGAGTAATGGCTTCAGAAGGCTTGCTTGGTTTCATCACCAGAAAATTAAGTGTGCTATCTGTGAGGTCTTGAAGAAATCTGGACAGATAATAACACAGAAAAGGAACATAATACTACCCATACTAATGATAATATGGCATTTATAAAGCGCCTTTTCATTAGATACAAAGCACATAAACAAGAAATAATTACAAACAAAGAGAGAGAACATTATCATGCAAAGCTTACATTGATTACAAAAATCTCAATTTCAATCTCATCACAACCTGCCCCCTGTTTAAACCACCACCTGGGCTGATGAAAGTGGATGAGACCACTAGGGGGTGGCTGCTTCACAGTACTTTAGAAATTTAAAGTTTCGTTCTTGACATACGCGAGAAGAAGAAGATTACAGATACAGAGAGGAATATTATTACAATTAGAAAAAATGTTTTCAGACACTTCTTGAAAGCTGTGAGAGTATGGCAATTCTTTAGTACAGGGGGTAAGGAGTTCCAGGTTTTGAGATCCATTACTGAAAAGGCCTTATCACTTATCTATCATGGCAGTAATGAATCTATAAGCTTGTCTGAGGTTTGTCACATAAAAGCAACAGGCAATATGTGTTACCACTCATATAATGATAGAAGTTGGACGTCTAACTCGTGGTGAGGTCCTCATACCTGAATTTTTTAAAGCAAAAATCAGGCTGCAATGAAGTTTTTGACTTGTATTAATTGAGCGCTACTCTCCGTGCAAGAGGCCCCAGATCAATTTCACAGAGGCATGCAAATAGCAATGTTGATCTTTAAGTGAACTAAAAGAAGCCCATAATATTTTGGTCATAGATGGATCATGAGATTTCCACACTTTTGGCTAGTGTTTGTCTAAACCTATCACAAAGATAACAGACATATAAGTGCTATATATATATATATATATCTCTCTCTCTCTAAAACACATCATTTTAAAAGTTCGTTGAAAACACCACTGATCACTTTTCAAAAACTTCATATATGTTTCTCTTGATTTTTGTATGAGATGTCATAATTCAGCAAAATTCCATCTCATATTTAATTTTGAGCATAAAATAGTTGTCTCACTTGTCAGGGAATCTGATCCAATACTTGGGTATCTCCAGCTGAAACTCGTTGACGAGACGGAATCTCCGTAACAGCTTCTGGGCGGGGTACTGTGTAGCATCTATCCCATGATGCACTGCCATTCCCCCCTTGCTTCCCAAAGCCTTGAACTCATTACTCAGATGATCAACTATACGGCAGATAAAGAAGAAAAGACAAACAAATGGGACACAATTATTATTGCTTATATTTCGCCGATGACATGATTCTATCTTGCATTTAATAATACTAATAATATGCCGTTCTTGTATAGCTCATATCACATTATGATAAAACCTCTATCTCTATGTGCTTCAAAAGGACTTTGGATATTATCACCCTAGCATTAGCTCTGGTAACCGTAGCACTCAGTGCATTCAAGGAATCTATCCTACCAGGTACCCACTTACTTCACCTAGGTCGAGTGTGGCAAATGCATATTAATGTCATACCAAAGGACATTAGGTGCAGCGGCAGGATTTGAACCCTATACCTTGTGGTTTACAGTCCGGAGACCTATCTACTAGACCACAACAGCTCTGCTATATTTAGCAATGACGCATGGTTTTCTTTGATATCACCAATCAAACTAATCAACATTATGTCATTTTCATTCAGCATGCATTGTAAATGAGTTTCATTTCAAGTTATTTCAAGCTTCATCTACAATTCTTTGATTTGATCATAATTCATCATATTTTTCATTATAACATATTGAGATCTCATTGGTTCTCCTTTTAATCAATAATATTTGGAGGACAATCAATCAATCAATCAAACGAAGAGAGCGGAGTCTAAACGAACCATGTTGCGTTTGAAATCATAGTGCAAGATATGCACTTTTAACAGAAAAATTGTCATATTCAGTATGATTCTTGGTGGTCTGAACTTACTGAGGTTTGTATACATCTCTCTCATCACATTGTGAGAGTTGGAACCAAACATCCTGGCGTGAAAGCGTAAACTGCTCTCCTAGATAGACAAATGAAAAGTGAAATAACATCAGACATGATGGATTCACACTCATTGATGACATACATCTATCTGCCTTTACAGTCATCTGTCTTGTTCGAAGGGAGGTTGAAATCTTCCAGCACAATAATTTTGCACTTTCTGATTTAATGTGATGTTATGGAAGGCTAATATTCAATATTCATGAGCTGTCCTTTCAGTTGTCATCATATTGTTTTGTCTGTATGATTGGACATCTTTAAAGAGATTGGTATCTCAGATAATCAAACATCAAATGGAATGAACCTAAACAAATCACCAATAGAGTTCACAGACGGCAATGACCACACATGTCAACCCTTTGCTTCTGTAAACTCTGTGGCTCCTGTACAACGTCTAAGGAAATGAGAAGTAAAGAGATTACAATACAACTTACAGAGAGGCCTTCATCAGGATCAGCAAGGGCCGCTACCAGACCTTTCTTCATCCTGCCCCAGTTCTCACAGGCCAGGACGTCCGAGGGAGGGACCTGGAGAAGCTTCTGAAGCGCTTCTCTGCGCCACTGAAGGGGCTGGCTGGAGTCCAGGCTCTCTGTGATGTTGGTGAACTGTTCTTGGTTCATGAACATGAAGGAGCTCTGTGGCAGGTGGAATAAATAAATGGTGACAGTCTTGAATTTATTTTAATGCATTTTGATTCATGATTGCTTTAAAGATGGAAAAGGTGCGGGGGGGGGGGCAATATTCTTGAAGAAATGGTGATGCATCTTCTTGGTCCAATTAATATCAAGGAGCTCTATGGAGGGTGTAAATGAAAACATGACTGGAATTTCTTTCTTTTTTGTTGCATAATTTGTTTTCTTATACATCTTAGGACAGAGGTACTTCAAATGCAAGAAGACAGAGAAGGGAGAGAAAGAGAAGGGAGAGAAAGAGAAGAGAGAGAGAGTGGAAGAGAAGGTAGGGAAAAAGAAATGGGGGGGGGGGAAGAAATGGGGGGGGGAAAGAAGAGAGAGAGACAGAGCTCTAGAGAGAGATTTGAAGAAAAATTGGTCCTCTCTCACACCCCTGTATTTTTTCCAGTAAACCAAACTAATTACCCCCCCCCCCCCCCTAAAAAAAAAAAAAAACTTGCAATAGATTTTCAAGGTCATCCTACTTGATTGAAGGAGTCATCTAACGAGGATTCATCGTCTCCACTCGAACCTATTTACCTCTAGCTTAGTAAGGATTTAAAATGTGTTCACATAGCAGTTCTTTAAATATCAAGATCATCCTACTTGATTTAAGGAGTCATCAAACGAGGAGTCATCATCTCCACTGGAGGGGTTAAAACTGTTGGTAGTCCTCTCTGGATACCGGTAAGAAGGGGCGTAAGAACCCTGACTGGTACGCTGACGTTTGTCATCGTCGTACGCCTGAATCAAACGATCCACGGCACTACGGGTGCTCAGCTTCAACGAATGCTTCATGTCTGTGCACCTGTTCATACAAAGATGAATAGAAGGGAAAACGATGATGGTGGAATACGTAAATCATCAATACATGGTAAAATGGCACTAACTCGCATTAACGACTTTCCTCAGCAAATAACAAAAAACAACTTAACATTGTTGACATTAGGTGTTCGATTCATGTTTCTATACAAATTTTTTTAATATAATAGTGATTACCGTAGAACATTTACATAATTCAGATTGGCCTACAAAAGAAAATGACATGAAATAATTAGGCTGAGCATAATCTCAATCAAGAGAACCGGTAATAGAACTGAAAAGAAAGACTGTGCAAAACTTTCTTACATGATGTCATTGCAAATTCCGGAGGATTAGGGCAAAGAAAAATGAATTGGTTGATTCAAGGTAGTATTACATGGATGGATATTTGTTGAATAGGATGAAAGGGTCATGAAATTGGTACGTAAACATATCACTTTTAATGATGATCACTATGACAACACTGATGATTATGATGATAATGGTGGTGATGATGATGATGATGATGATGATAATGGTGGTGGTGATGATATTGGTTATACCGATATTGATGATAATAATAATGATGATGCCTAATGATGATGATGGTGATGATGATGATGATGATGATGGTGATGATGATGATGACGATGATGATGATGAAAGTGGTGATGATAGTGATGATGATACTGGTAGTGATGATGATAATGATGATGATGTTGATGGTAATGATGATGAGGGTGGTGGTGGTAATGATGATGACGATAAGGGTGGTGGTGGTGACGATAGTGATGAATCACAATCATAATCATCATCATCATCGTGATGATAAATACATGTCTGCTGTACTCACGCTTGATCATTGATGACACGCTCTGTCACATCTCTGACCAGCACTTCCTCGGTGGCTCTGTTTGGCATGTCCAGGTTTCTCCTCTCGATCTCCTCCTCAATGAGAGGGCCCAATACCGCCTCGGTACGCCCCTTGATGTACTTGACTAACTCATACCTGAAAGAAAAATAAATAATATAGAGTATTACAAGAAAAAAGATTGCACTACCCAAATAATACTTCAACTATTTCAAGAATCCTCTTTTATGTTAAATCATGGTTGAAGAATCTTTATCAAAATACTTCACTTAACTACTACATTGCTGCTCTTCAACTCACTAAAATTTCATTGACCTGTAGGTAGAAACTTTTCTGCATATATAAAAATTTCTCAAATAACACTATGTTTTTCCTCAATGATTCTTTGTACATGTACATGACATCATCTAAAATAGTGGATTAATAAATATATCCCCATTGATGCATGACACACTTTACTTTTAGCTATAAAAGTATTGGCCTGAAATCTTCTTGTGATAACAGAGGCCAATGTCAGAAAAAGTCTCACTGTTGGAGGAGCTGTGGCAAAATTGTTGGGAAAAAAAAATCATTGGATAAAAAAAAAAAGGAAAAATAGCTGGAATATTGGAAACCTCAAGCATTCTGAAGGCTCACAAAGTCAAAGAGGCTCTAATGAACCTACCTGTGGAAGTTGACATCAGTGCCTTCCAGATGGACCATCATATCCTCAGCAGTAGCCAAGGTAGAGGACCTCTGGATAGACGATGCTACGCTGGAGATGAGCTGCCTGATGCTTGGCAGGAGGTCCACCTCCGTGTCCAGGTCAGCCATGATGGTTTACTGCTGAATCAACAAACTCTCTGCATGATCAAAAAGAGCATGTAATTGATTGATTGATTGACTGATTTACCGGTACTTCAATCACTCAGATTTTTAAAACTATGATAAGATGTTTAAAGTGAATTTGAATGACTGAATTTGAACCTTTCACAGAATTTACGAGAAAAAAAGAAAGAAATTAGATAGGGGTCTAGATCTAGGCCTAGATCTAAATTTAAGAAATAATTGAAGGACAAAAAGTGCAAAACTACATTTGTGCGTAAAAGCTACAACAAAATAACTAGAGTCTACAATATTTCAAATTGTGGAGAAATCGCAAGTTCAATGATGGGATTCTTGCCTACATTAGATGTTAGACGCACAGTCTAGTCCTACACAAAGTCGATCATTTGATGATCATGCACAATCAATGTCTGTGAATTCATTAGACCGAAAGCTTCAGTCTCTCTAATCGTCGGTTGTTCCACTGAGACTACGTCTGGCTCCACTAGACCTCCGATTATAGAGACTGAAGTCTGGGGACCTCTTTCTGTGAGGCACTGTACGGAACAAATGGTTCGGTTCGACCGGACCGCGATGAATGAGATATGCAACGAGATTTTCACTCTTTACATCCTCATACATGCTGCAATATGACAATAATTTAGAGTCTAATTAAAAATAACATATATATAGCTTATTTGACTTACGATAGCTTGCTCATTTAGATCCTAAATTAATGATTAATCCGAGAAAGTCTCGTCGTCAACATTATCCGTCTTGGTTTTAGTTGATGAATATTCATTTTTTCTTTTCGAACGTCCAATAGCTACCGTAGCTACGTACGAGTCGGCCCAGCTTGACCAACGAACTCCCACGAAACGAGTGCTCTGATTGGCCATTTGGCTATGTTTTGGTAGGTGGACCCGGAAATATATCGGCCGCCGGGTAATATTTCGAATGCATGAACGTACCGTTTCACAGTTCGGAAATACAAATTGGATAATTCATATAAGTAAGTCCGTAAATTATACATTTAATATTAAGTTATCAAATTTTGATAACTGTAATTAGGACAAATGACATACCGACCTAATTTACATCTGATTTAGAAATCAGAAAATTAGATCTAAATAAAGAAAATCGGGGAGAAAATGTTTTGACACAAAAAGCTGCCATTGTTGGCTATAGGTACCCCCACGGTACTAAATCTCTGGGTTGCCATCTGTATTGGGGAATGACAACAAATGTCAGTTTTATTAAAGAAATGACCCAAATCAGATGGTTATTGCTGTCTATGAATTCATTAGCTTTAGACTAGGGAGCGCCGATCCGCCGCGCCGCCGTCTTCGGCGGCGGAGCTCGCGCTCCCTGCTGGAGTTTTACCTGGACTCTGCAGTTATGAAGTCAATTCAACGAACAAATTACGAATATCATGGGTCAAACATCACATCAAGAGAAGGCCTTGGCAACTATGTCCATTCACTCAGGCATGAGCAACAGAACAAAGATAGAATTAGAAATCGACCGAGGCCTACCTGAAAATTGGCGTCTGTGTTGTCAACACAACATCAACATCAGCACCATTTTGCATATTTGCGACAAGAAAAATAAATAGTCAATTAGACAGCGCCCTCTATCGCTGAAATATTTTTCTTTCCTCCCATGTCTGTATTATGAGAGCAGAACTAGTGGCCATACTAATGGCACTAGAGTGGATTAATACATTTATTGAATCCTCTTCGGTGGTAATTTTTAGCGACGCTTTGTCAGCTTTACAAATGATCGATTCATACTTTATTAGATGTGCTATTGTAAATGAAATTTTATCCATAATTAATATTTTGCAGTTTAAGGATGTTTGTGTTGCTTTTGAATGGATTCCGTCACATTGCGATATTAGGGGCAATGAGATCGTAGATCGGGCTGCCAAAAAAGGAGCCATGAAAAGGTGTATAGACATAGTTATACCAAATACAAGAAGTGAATTGGCAGCCTCTCGTTTGATCCATTATAACAAATTATGGCAAGCAGAATGGGACAATGCAGAACACGGTAGATTTTTATATGCTTTGCATAGCGACGTTTCAAAGCCCATACATAGACAAGGCCTATCTCGCAGAGAAGAATGCTTGATACAACAACTAAGAGTAGGTAACTGTAGTTTAAATTATTACCTTTTTCAAATTAACCAACACGATACTGGTCTTTGTGAAGTTTGTCAAGAAGATGAAACAATTAAACATTTTATTTTCTATTGTACAAAATACGACAAAGATAGACGTCTCTTAAAAGAAAGGATTAAATTGAACAACCCCAATCTGAAACAATTATTGATATCTAACCCAATTTTTACTCGTGAATTATTGGGTTACATATACGATACTAATCGTTTTAGATAGCTTTTAAAGCTATCAGGGATCCCCTTAACTTATGTCGATCCTGTAATAATATATACACAGGCGCGGATCCAGGGGGGGGGCCGAGCGGGCCTTGGCCCCCCCCCCCCCCGCAAAAAAAAAAAAAAAAAGAGAGAAGAAAGGGAAAGAAGGGAAAGGGAAAGAGGAGAGAAGGGAAAGAAAGAAGAGGAAGAAAAAAAGAAAAGGGGGAAGAAGGAGATCGGGGGGCCGAAAGGGCCTTGCCCCCAGGCTGTTGACCCCCCCCCCCCCCCAATCAAAAAAAAAGAGAGAAGGAAGGAAAGGGAAAGAAATGACATAATTTCCGAGATTTTTCCTCACTTTTTAGTATATACGTTTGTATGTGTTTGTTGGAGAATGAAAAATTACTAAATTTACAGCCAGGCAAGAAATATGATTCTTGAGATTCCTACATGTCAGGCCCGAGGTGGAGCGGGGATCGGGAGCCTCGAGCTCCCTCCCCCGCCCCCCCCCCCCCCCCCACTTTTTTGAAAAAGTATTTTAAAGAGAAATAAAATAGAATGAGAGCAAGAAAGAAAGAATAGTTAACTGCCAGTGTTAAAAATAAATGAGGCATCTAAATATGCTCATCTGACCGTGATTAAATGCCTAAAACCCCTAAGCTCCCGGGGGCTCTGCCCCTGGATTCCACCTAGGACCCTACGGCGGGCCCTTAGATGCTCATCTGACGGTAATTTAATGCCTAAAACCCCTGATTTTTTGGGGCTCCGCCCCCTGGAATCCACGCCAAATAGTGACCTGCCAGTGTCATAAAATTTTAAGGTATAACAAAAATGCTCATCTGAGCTTAATTAAACGCCTAAAACCCCTGATCAACCGGGGCTGGCTCAGCCGGCTCGACCCCACCAGGGGCCCTAAGGCGGGCCCCTGAATGCTTATCTGACCGCAATTTATTGCCTTAAACCCCTGAGCTTGCGGGGTCGGACAAGGTATCAAAATGTGTTTATCTGACCGCAGGCGCGTAGCCGGGGGGGGGGGGGGGCTGGTCCCCCAAATTGGAAGAAGACGTAGGAAGAAAAAGGAGCAGACAAAGAGCACCTTTGAAAAAAGGATTAAGAGTAGAGAGAACGGTACAACGCATCGTCTTCTTTCTCTAATAATTTAATGAAACGTCAAAGCTTCGCTCAGTAGGGGAGGGGGGGGGGAACTGAATTCAGACAAGGATTAAATATCGAGAACGGTACAGCGAATCGTCTTCTTTCTCTCATAATCTTGTGAAACGTCAAAGCTTCCGCGCGAAGCGCGGGAGTGGGGAACCTGAATTCAGAGGCGAGAACGGTAATTTGATTTGATTTGATTTGATTTGATTTATTGGTTGCTGCATCTTTTTTCTTTTTTTCAACATACATTTTCATGAACATAATATGGCTTGATACAATATAATACGAATATTTAATGATTTAATGAAACGTAAAAGCTTCCGCGCTTTGCGCGGGATGGAGGGGAAACTAAATTCCGACGAGGATTATTTTCGAGAACGGTACAACGAATCGTCTTCTTTCGAATGATTTAATGAATCGTAAAAGCTTCCGCGCGAAGCGCGGGAGGGGGGGGGAACTGAATTCAGACGAGGATTAAGAGTCGAGAACTGTACAGCCAATCGTCTTCTTTCTCTCATAATCTTATGAAACTTAAAAGCTTCCGCGCTTTGCGCGGGAAGGGGGGGGGGGACCTGAATTCGGACGAGGATTAAGAGTCGAGAACTGTACAACGAATCGTCTTCTTTCGAATTATTTAATAAAACGTAAAAGCTTCCGTGCTTCGCGCGGGAGGACTGAATTAAGACGAGGATTAAGAGTCGAGAACGGTACAACGAATCGTCTTCTTTCTCTAATGATTTAATGAAACGTAAAAGCTTCCGCGCTTCGCGCGAGAGGGGTGGGGGGAACCTGAATTCAGACAAGGATTAAGAGTCGAGAGCTCTCCAAAGAATCGTAATAATTTAATAAATCGTTTTTTTTTTTTGTGAAACGTCAAAGCTTCCGCGCAAAGCGCGGGAGGGGGGGGATCTGAATTCAGACGAGGATTCAGAGGCGAGATCGGTAATACGAATCTTTAATGATTTAATGTTACCTTCCGCGCTTCGCGCGGGATGTAGGGGGAACTAAATTCCGACGAGGATTATTTTCGAGAACGGTATAACGAATCGTCTTCTTTCTCTAATGATTTAATGAATCGTAAAAGCTTTCACGCTTCGCGCGGAAGGGGGAAAACTGATTTCAGACGAGGATTAGTGTCGAAAACGGTACAACGAATCGTCTTCTTTTTCTAATGATTAAAGGAAACTTAAAAAGCTTCCGCGCGAACCGCGGGAGGGGGAGAACCTGAATTCAGACGTGGATTAAGAGTCGAGAACTCTCCAAAGAATCGTAATAATTTAATAAATCGTAAAATTTTCCGCGCTTGGCGCGGGAGGGGAAAAAATAAATTCAGACGAGAATTATTTTTGAGAACGGTATAATAATTGAAACGTCAAAACTTCCGCGTTCACGGAGGAGGGAGGGGGAAACTCGCCCCTCCCTGCATCGACCCCCCCCCCCCCCCCGCATTACGTCACTGTTGGTCACTATTACGTACCAATATTTGGCTCGCATAATTTCAAATTTGGGCCCCCCCCCCTAAGAAATCCTGGATCCGCGCCTGATATACAATGAAGTATTTGCGGTTTTTCCATGAACAATTGCAACTAACTCCCATGCAATTTTAATATTGCAGCTTTTTTTTTTTTTTTTTAATTTTTTTTATAAAACCATATCACTATTAATTTCATTTCACCAAGGAAAGTCGCTCGTGGGCTTGATTTCCGAAGCCCACGCCAAAGCTATACACGAAATTGACTGGCGCAAATAATCTTTGAGATTGAAGAGCGCCATCTAAACAAAGAACCAACCAACCAACCATCCAGCGTTTATCGAAAAGTGTAAACGGTATTTTCGAGGAAAACATAAAAAAGATATCACATGCCATAAACACAGTAAAAATGTTACCACCTGTTGTTGTTTTTGTTGTTGATTTATTTTATTTTTTTTTTTGGGGGGGGGGGGGTTGACCCAGGCTGGGCAATTATCTTTCTGTTGGAAATGAAATAAATATTAATTGAATTGAATTTAATTGAATGATTATTTTGCCTTTATTTATTATATACCCGTCGTTGAGAGTTATATTTTTAGGATCAGCCGCCTACAAATCTCGTATTTTTCGTTAATTTTGTAGTAGGCCTACAGTTTACATCACAATTAAGTGTGAAATCACTTTTGATAAGCGCCCCCTTCATCTCTAAAAATTGCCCTATTCAAATCTGAGAGGTTCCACTTTTGCTTTGACAAGTTCCCCTTTTCCTTTGTAAAAAATGCCCCTTCCCCTTATAATAACCACTCCTTTTTAACTCGGATAAGCGCACCTTATATCTAACATATGCCCCCTTTCCTTTTTAATAAGTGCCCCTTTTCCTTATGATAAGTGCCCCCATTTGAAAAAGAGCCCCTTTCCCTTCTCATAAATGCCCCTTTTCATTCTCATAAGTGCCCTTTTTCATCACTTGTAAATGACCTTATTCAATTTTGAGAGATACTCGTTTTACTTTGACAAGTGCCTCTTCCCCTCTTGACAAGTGCTCTTTTCATCTTATATAAATGCCCCTTTTATTTTGACATGTCCCCCGTTGTCCTTCCTAATAAATGCTCTTTCTCCTTCTTATAAGTGCCCATTCTTACTTTTCCACTGTAGTATGAAGGCCTCATCATGCTGTCTCCAAATAACCATGTTTAGTGCTTGTTGGTGCCAATTCACTTTTCCCCAGTACTGTTGCAGCTTATCTCTCCATCTTTTTCTTTGACGTCCCCTGTTTCGTTTTCCCTCATTATGGTGTCCGGTGAGTGATTGCTGAGCTCCAGCGATTATCATTCCTACGGCTGATGTGGCCCGCCAAATTCCATTTCCTTCTTTTCACTGTTTCAAGGATGTCCTGGACTTGGGTCTGCTCCCTGATCCATTTGTTCGTTTTTTCTGTCTTTGTATGTAATGCTTAGAATACTTCTTTCCATGTTGTGTTGAGATGCTGCTAGCTTTCTTTCCACTTTTGATGTTAGTGTCCATGTTTCTGCAGCGTATGAGATTGCAGGGATGATGCTCTGGTTATATACTTTCTTTTTCAGTGCCCATTC